CAATTACAATTGTAAACATTATTTTTTGAGAAGTGTTTACACCTCCTCCTTTAGACTACAAAACTTAAGGTGTGTTTGCACATTTAAAAAGTTATTTTTTGACTACAGAATTTTCAGATATTTTTTCTCTTCTAATTTTGCTGTTGAATTACAGGTTTAGTTATTTGAATTAAAATAGAAGAGTGGAAACTGAAGCTTAGAATTCATTGTAAAACTTAGACACAAAACTTCAGACAAAAACAAAATTTACACAACATTTCAGCTTCTGCCTTTCACAAGAACTAAATGTATACTGAGTTTCCACTATGGCTCAAGTCAGATGGCACTTACCACAGTCAAACTCTCAAAATGACTGGAAAATGATCACTGTCAACTATCCAAGTCAAAAGAAGGCAAATAGATGGAGTGATATATATCAGTAAATACCTAACTCAGGCATGGAAATAAGTGTATTCTCCACTTCTAAGAGATAATGTTCAGATAGAAGATGCTCCACAAACCCATTTGATTGTTTTCAATATCACAAAAATGATACTCAAGGACTATTTGCATTAGCTGTCCCTAGTTTTGAATAGTTTGATCATAAGGAACAGAGCTACATAACACCACCCATCATTAATTCTTGGGCTACTCTAATTGAATAGTGAGATTTAATTCTCTCTCTTATAATGCACTAACGTTCCAAAGTGCAGAGTACACTTTTGTTTTTGATGGTGATGAGATGCAAACCATAGACCTTCAGATCCACAGTCCAGCATGCTAACCACTAAGCCATTTTCAGTCCTCCAAATATTTGTCCCCATCAACATTTCAATAGTCAAAAACAGGTTATGCCCATTCAGCTACCCTGATATAAAAATAAAGAGCAGGAAGCTGTATAACTAAATCATCAAAGTCTGCCTAACCATTTCTGAACTAGAGAAGTAGCATTGATATCTCAATTTTTTCGTTCTCACAGTGGAAATACTTTAACAATTAAATTGCATGAAACTTAGTACTAACTTACTAAATAATATCTAGTTTTGACTTTAAAAAATTGATATAAATTTTATTTAGTATTTCTATTATTTTTAGGATGTAAAATTTCCAAAACTTTGTTATGAGAGACTGATTTGGAAAAAATAAACAAAATGCTTCAATTTACACTAGAATGTCAACTGCTTTTACTGTTGATCAGAGAGTTCTATTTTCTATATCCAGACAGTTTTAATTGGATTGATTTTCATTAACAAACTTCTTTTCATACTTTATTTTGTCTACTGCTGTAGTCACAACTTCCAACTATAAGTTATAAAACAAAAGTTTCAGACAATCTTTTGTATCTCATCATCCAGCCCAAGTAATGAGTTACGGTAATGAATATAACGTCTGGCCTCTTTGGCAATGACTAGTGCAGGACAAAAGATAGGTCTGAAATGCTATTTTTATGTGTTTCTGGTTTTGAATCAGCAATGGACAAATTAAAGAAATATGGGGAAAAAAAATTTGTAGTTAAAGTTATTTTTTATCACAAATTTTACACCTATTTGTTTTATTGCTTTGCCAGCTTTTGGCATTTAACAAGATTTTTATTTGTGTGCATTATTTGAATATAATAAACTTAACAATAATATTAATTAAATAAGGATTTGAGTAATTGCAATATTTTGCTCTGCCTGACATACTTGCTAATCCAACCCAAGATTACCTGATGTTTTGCTATATACAAAGATCATTTTTAAGTCTTCAAACTTATTAGAATCCTCCCAAAAAACACAAATTACTGCTCAAATCACCCTATTTCCTTTAAACTGACAAAAATTGCTTATCCAATTGCTTTTAGCTATTTTCAAAACATTGCTTTATTTGTAACTGTTCAGACATCATAAATGAGTGGGAATGAAGCTTGTAGTAGTAAAATCCCTATGAGAAACAGGACATGGATAATTATATGTCATGGATGATAGCATTCTTAGCAAACATAAACCTATATTTTTGGAAAGACAGAAAAAGCTTTGAAAAAAATCAATTAGTGCATTATATGCGAGATTCCCTGGAGTTGTACAGTAATGAAAGATGGAACATTCTTTTCATTTATCTTTATGAACTACATCAAAAGTTTACATAATTACAAAATTCACAAATCATTTAAACATTGTAGAAATAAAGTTAAAAAAATTATTTTTCCTTAAATTTTGAAATTTGATAAGCAGATGTGCACTAAACACTTGAAAAATGCTTACCAATAATTATAGTGTTAATGGATATTTTCTTAATGTGACATGCAGTATACTTGCTTACAAGCAAAGCTACATCCACATGCTAATTAAACACCCTTTCCTTGCACACTTAATAAAACTGACAAATGGTGAAGCTAGGTTTCAGAAATATTTCTTGTAAGGAGATACAAACAGAATAACTTAAATTGATCATAACTTTATCATGTTCATTAGAATAGAAAACTTTATGGAGTAATTAAAGAGAAAAGTCCATTTTCACTTAGCTCTCTAGGAGAGGAACCTTTAGATGGTTTATCCTTTTCACTTCCATTTTTTATTTTGTCTTTGGCAGGTCATTTGATTTCCATGATATAAATCACCACCTGACAGTCATAACTCTAAAAATGGTTGGAATGATCACATAATAGTCTTGCATTTTTAGCCAGTCAGGCTGAACCTAATTGCTAAGAGCCCTGCATGCAGGCAAAGAAAAAAAAGGTGAAAGTAGATTTCTCCACTCTACAGTTTGTGGAGGAATACAGAGTTCTAACATAGAGAAACAAGATTCGGAGGTGTGTAAAAATTTGTTTTTTCACCCCAACCAATATAGTAGAATACACAGCTAAAGAATGACTCTCCTTCAATACTGGTGTGATCAGATTGTGTGCCTCACCATAAGTAATGTTACATTGCACTTCCTTCTGACCTTTCCACTTATGAAATGATATGGGATTATGAAGGGCATGAGCACTGACAGTTACCACAGCAAGGACCAGAAGTACAAAAGGTACTACTACAGTTGTTACTATCTTAACCATCACAAACAGGAAAATCATGTCAAAAGGTCTTGGAATGGCCAAATTGTTATCAGTTGAAACCTCTTAGCTGATTTGAAATATACAGCTACAAAGACAATTCACATATCCTACCTTTACAATGCCAAGAAAATAAGGTGAGGAAAAAGAATAAAAAGCCTAATGAGCTTATATTTGCTGTTCTTTCTTCATAAAAAATCAACTAGACATCCATAACACCCTGGTCTTTCCTCTTTCAAATACTTTTTTCTTGTTCTGTGATGCCAAAAATATCAGTCATCTACAAGTCCAAAGTATTATACTGCAATAAACCAGCCACCATTCAACAATTAGGATTCTCTTTCCTCTGTTTTATGGATTGCCATTTATGGCAAATGCTTGTAATGATGTTGGATGTTTGGATTTTAGTGAAAGTAAGCTGCACGAGCATAATTTTCCCTTAGCAAGATAAAGAATTCATGTTGAGAAGAGTAAAAAATTACATCTGTTATATTTGAAACAGATAGCACTCTTGCATTTAATGTAACTGTTAACTTTTGTTTGAGCAGCTGAATACACAACATATTTTAAAAGAAGCAATAATGAGTTGAAACCATAACTCTCATTTTCTTTGTAATGATAATTAATTGAAATACCACCTATTGGAAGATATAATGTAATTAAGCAATATTAAATAATTACATTTGTTATATTTCAAACAGATGATACTGCTGAACATAATACATTAAATTTTTTTTTTTGCTAAACAGTTGATCACAGAACATGTTTTAAAAGATGAAATAACAAGTTCAAACAATAACTGACTTTTTCTGTGTATTCTTCTTCTCCATTGTACTTCATAATTTCTGGAGCCATGAAACCCTCTGTACCACCAAAGCCCTTAGTTCCTGTTGGAAGTGTAGAGCGACTGATACCATAGTCAGCAAGTTTCACCTCTACAGCAGCTCTAAGGTGTGATGGGTGAAATGGAGGTGGAAGATCCCACACCAATACATTTTCTGACTTTAGATCCCTGTAGATGATGTGTTGTTGATGGAGATATTCTAGAGCCTTGGCAATCTGTAAAAAACAAGTTATGTGAGTTTGTTTCAGTAGCTTCAATTATGGCATATAACCCTTTCACAATGGGCTTAGGGTAATTTATGGAATACCATATTGGGAATTTCACTTGTGCAACAATACATACTGTAACTCAGAGATTTCTTAATGTATCCTGTTAAAACTGGTAAGATTTTGTTAAGGATCACAAGTATTTTGCACACAAAAATTATGTTATTTTAATTAAGTGTTTTGACTAAAAATATTATGACAGCAGAAGTCATATGATGCTAGTAACACGTGATGAGTATCTAAAAGATTCACGAAGAGACGAGATGTACGCTTTTATAGTATACAAGCCAGCAAATAAAGTGACGGCACGAATATAGTTGCAGATAGAAAAATTGAAGATATAGACACGGATAATCGAGTCAAGCGGGCACTGTAAGTAAAGTGTGTGAATCGTTGTGAATTATAGCATGAGTTTAAGTTAAAGTGACTGTGGAAATTAAGAGTATTGCAAAGTTGAATTGAGAAAGAATAAACTAGTTTTATTTAAGAAAGGACTTGTATTACAGAAGTTTATTCTGAAAGAATTTCTACAGAAAATTAACAAACGAACACAGACGTAACAATATGTTATTTATCTATTGTAGTTACTTGCATTCAAACTCTTAATAAATCAAGTGTGAGGGTTATTTTCATTTTAAGTATCAAAATACTTTTTTTTCATCTTATAGTTTTCATATTTCATTTACATAATCTCTAAAGCCTCCTAAACAAATATCAAAACCTTTTTAAGGTAAATGTTTATATTTTACTTTTCATTTTCTCTACCATATCACTAACTCTAGCTATTATCATCAATGTACAATGCAATAAAATGATTAAAATTAATACTTTTTGTAGAATATCTTTTGGTTATATTTGTAATTTCAGGTATTTTCCTTTTCACCTATAGTTAATTATTAATGTTTTATTTTCCTTTCTTGTCCTTTACCATTTATTATTCAAATCAACACAAGTCAACGGTGCCCTCGGGGCATATTAAACATGCCTGTCAGCAATGCACAATCCTTCAGCAAAACTTCTGTGCACTGTGTAACACTGTAAACTTAAGAACTGACAAAAAGTGTGATGAATATTTGAAGTGTTTAAACCTCTCAATTGTGTATTTTAAAACATAAAAATATATAAATAACCAAAATATAAAAGTAAAACCTAAATTCAATTCAACTGTATCTCCGGCTACAACATATTTAGGTAAGAAACAATTGTAAGTGCTATAGTCGATCAAGCAGCGAACTACAGGTTTCCCATGATGAAAGCTGCATGGAAATTTCAAAATAACCATTGTTGGATTGTAGTATAAGATGAGCTCTTTCTAATGATTACATATGTGTTTATGTAACCTCTACATGTAGGCTATAAAGCTCAAACAAATCTATTGAAGGTTAGCATGGCACCATTCAGGGGTTGACAAAATTTATTACTTCTTTCAACTGCATTCATCCAGACAACTTTGAAATGTACATGTCAATAGGTTAAGTAAACACGTTATTGTCTAGACATACATTTACATAACTGGCATTATATAATTGAAGTTACAGAGTGCCAAGGTAGAGATTTTTTATAGATTGTGGGTCACATGACAATACATCTGAAGTTTTAAGTAATTTTTTATAGGTTTCTTTTGAAATAAAGAACTTAAAACTTAGATAAAATAAAACATTGAATCATAACATACATTATAATGTTAATTTCGTTCACATACACTGATAGTAAAGGGGAATTAAATTTTGAATGTAACACAGTGACTTGTGCAGAAAAGTATTTAAAGGGGTACCCAGTGTGAAAGTCTTAACAAACTGTAAGAATATGAATTTTCATTTAACAAAATATTATTACTTTTAAGTTACAAGAAACAAAATATGCAGTAAAGTTTCAGTTATCATATAATACCTGCACTATAATTCTCTGTAAAACAAATAAATCCAGCCGAGCTCCTGACCGTCTATAGTCCTTCAGCACAACATCCAAGGCTCCTTGTGGTGCCAGCTGCAGGACAAGGGCCAATGGTTTGGTGCACACTCCTACCAAAGGGACAATATGGGGGTGGCGAAGTGTGAGTAGAATGTTCAGCTCTTGTCGAGCCGTACAATAGGCTTTACATGAATACTGAATAGGATCCCTCTGCCATTTGTTCCAGGCAGCCTAACAAGCAAAGTCTCATTTTAGTATGATGATCCAAAACACAAGAGGAAGATTATTATACAGAACTGACTTGCTTAACATTATCAATGTTTCAACATAGATGATGTGAAACTAAACTCAATTACCTAAATAGCTTTATTGATACATGTAATAGCATTTAAAAATCAATTTGCACAAAATACAACTGTGCCTTCTCTATACTTACTAAATTAATTTGATAGTGTGACAAAATAGGTTCCATTATAATTGTACAATACCTTATAGACAATTAAATCAGAATGACGAGCTCCAAAACCTGGATCCACTGGTTGAAGCATCTTCATAGCAACATCAATGTAAGAGTTGGAACCCTTAAAAAAATAGAGAATTACTTATACTCCAGATATATACTTTGCTGGAAATGTTATCTGTATAGGTTTAAATGTCACTGTTATAGATTTCAAATCAAGCACACCATAAGCTCAAAATAAATATTTATTTATTTATTATTCTAACATCAATCTACCACAAATTCTGTGCTTTGAAATAAAACCAAGGCAAGAAATGTGAAATATATAGAAACATAAACAACCTTAGTCACACTTATGAATTTGATATTCAACATTTACTATAAAGTTTCTGCTTTATTTTGATGGTTTGTCCTTTGATAATATAATGTCTCAGTTTATTGGCTGCTCGAACACATAAGAAGCACTTCTCCATTAGACAAAAAATAACTAGATTGTGATGATATTACACTTTTTGTCACACCATGGTCTTAATGTAGTACCCCACAAATCTTCATTACTTATACATAAATGATCATTCTCATAATGTATTCACAGGAAATTAATCCAATGGCAACACTAGCCTGAGCAAAACTCTGCATCATCCTTCCACTTAAGTATGAGCACAAATCAAGGGAAGACAGATGTTGGACAGGCAAGTGCAAAACATACTGAATGATCACTGTAAACGTGACCTGAGCCATAATTTTGAGCTGGATTGGGATGACTATATGTTATTTCCAAGAGCATCACTTAAATGCAGCTCATCTACACAAAAAGTTTGAAAACATTTCTTGAATATAACTGAATGTTCTACTTCTTGATTACAAAGGGTTGACTCCTGGAGGTTTTTAATACCAACACTCAGTATTTCCTTATCTTAGGGACTTATTAAACCCAAACCTTAAACTGCATGTACATGATATTTATATGTTATACAAATAAAGTAAAAAAGTTTTTTTCTTGATTTTTACCTAAGATAGCCATTTCAATCTGAAAGTACCTAAATCATGGAAGGTTTCTTGGTAACAGAGTACAGTGATGTTGCCTTCAATTTAGCAGCTCCAGGAGTGACTGTTGAAACTCTGGAATGTGAGCTGGACCAACCAAGAACTAGCCCAGACTTTGAGCTCTCTTTTACAGTTCCTATGATGTTAAGGGAGGATACAGCCAGAAATAGTTGCCACCTCTTCACCATTGGTCTTTACTCAACTTAGATAATGAGAGAAGAGCCTAGGTCTGTTGGCTGGTGGAAGACTGTTGTGTTATGGTTTAAATGTCAAAAGTTAGCAAAGCATTAGAAACATCATATCTACCACTTGTGATGATAAGCTGCAGTTTTCATTATTTTTATAACAAGTTAGACACATTATAAAGCTGCTATGCTTTAGGGAATCATAAGGTGAGGTTATCTTCCACAGTCAATGGGACCAACTCTTCTCAAATACCAGATGATCTTGAGCATTAACAACTCCTTAGGTAGCCTACAACAAGTGCTACTTATTATCAACTTGGGAAATTTTAATGGAGTTGTCACTGAGCAATAAAACCACCACTGCCAAGACCAAATCACCAGATGGATGTTGAGGTCTAAGATATGTCACGAGGTGCTTGACTTCAATAGTGGGTGAGACACTTAGGAAAACTACTGGCTTACCACCAAAAAATGATACTTTATTAACCCTCATGCTATGGACTAGGTCACTATGAATGAGTTTGTAATTACAAAGTAACCATCAGAGTTTTCATACCATAACTTTTAATATGTTTTGAGTTTATTCATAACATTTTTCCAGCTTTCAGTAAACCTTACAAGTCTTAAGTACAGAAGAAATCAGATTTTTTTAATTAAGTATTTTTACTAAATATTTGTTGATGAATATACCTAAGTTCATATCATTTCAGCAAAGCCACTTTTAATTTGTCATATTCCATGGCATCTTCTGACATCATGTTTGCATATACTTGTAGACCTTTTCCTGTGAGAAGTGAGCCGAGACAGACTGCCCAGTCACCTTTGTCCCAGTTCTGACTATGGGCAAATCTTTCATATCTCTCCATGAAAGCATCCATGTGATTTTTCTGTTCATCAAATTTGGGCAGCTTAGGTCAGTTGGCCCCGACTTGATTATCATTCTTAGGTCCTTCTTCTTTCTGTTGGGTGAGCTTTGTGATCTCAATTTGTGCTCTTATTCTCTATATTTCTAGTCTCCCCTCTTTCTCTTTTTTTTCTTCTTTTTTAGTCACTCTTCTTCTCTTCTCTCTCTAGTTCTTGTTTAACAAGCTCTCTTAGTTCACTGTCTTTTAATCTGAGATGCTCTCCTCTTTCTATCCATTTATCAAAATGTGACATGGTTATATAGCATATTTGAACTACTACTACAGTTGTGTGTATGTTGGCCTACATATTCTCAATGTCATTCACATTTTTCTTTTTAACTGCCGTTTACAATATATAATCCTGGCTGGCTTGCCAAATGTCAGAACTTTAAGTATATACATGGGTGTGGGTCAAGGATTCTTCTACAGTAGGTATCTGTGATTTGTTGGCAATAAATTTGAACAATAAATGGACAGCACCCACTCCACTTGTTTGAAAATAATATATTCAAAACAAGTTAAACGTATATACAAAAATTCTTTACACTATGGAGATCATAGTTGTATCTTAAACACTATACAGTTCTCTTCTTGTCAAAACTCCACTTAGATTGATTCAATTTCTTTAGAATTCAACTGACAAGACAAATTATTTTTATCTACTTTTATCACAGTAGTATCAATGAATACTTCACTTACGCTACCTCGTGGGTTACCACTTTTGTATCCTAAACTTCAAATAACTGTCTTAATTTTGTCAAAGTCCACACAGATGGGTTCAACTACTTTAGAACATCCTTTGACAAGACAAATTATTCTCCTTATCTCAATTAAACTGTGAAACTCACTTTAAAATATCACCTGTTAAAGCTAATCACTCATAAGCCAGCTAATTTCACATTTTCTGTTGCTAACTAATTTTCTGACTGAACAGCACTTGAGTTTTTCTCTATTTTATTTTTACTTCACTTGACTTGCGCTCATTTGGTCGCCTCTATTTATAGGTTGATCACGGAGGCCTGGAACTGTCTGTATAGTGTGCGAACAGTGCTTATTTAACAATTCTCAGTTAAAGTAACAAGAAAAATATTGAAAATTCAAGTAACATGACATCAACAATATTAGAAAAGCCTAAACAACAATGTCAAACAGAATGTATGACTCTTACCACGTTATGTAACAAACTTGTCATAACTATCATCTTTAAAATGATTAACTTTTAACTCTCTTGTGAGGAAAAACTAAACAATCATTAAATATTAACTCACAAAATAAACTAAATAACAATAACTATGATAAACAGACAGATTGTATAGTTCACTGTCATTGCAATGGTACTAGATAGGGTTAGATAGTCCAGACATTTATCAAATCAGTTTATTCTCACAGGTTGGTGAGCTAATCAGTTATCTCTCTTTATGTGGGCTTGGTCATATTTACCAATCTTGTAACCATGAAACTATATATACTATAATTCTGAAATTAAGTGTATCTTCATGAAATTTGGGAAGCTTATAGTGAACATTGAAAATACTTTGTACAAAAAATTTATTTTACTAAAAATTTGTTTGTGAATTTATGAATGTTAGGTGATTTTCATGTTATGAATACAAATATACATTTCATCTTACAGTTTTTGTATTTCATTTATATAATCTCTAGAACCTCCTAAATAAATATTAAATTTTTCAGCAAAACTTTATATTTTATCTGTTACTTGTATTTAAATCAGCAATGTTGGATAAAAGGAAAAGTTGAAATATACAAAATAATTCTAAATAAACCTTTTTTCTTTTCTAGAACAAATGCATATTGTAACAGACAATTACACATTATTTATTTTTACAGCCCAAACTAATACTCTTCAAATCTCCCAGTCATATAAATTTATTGCTTTACAACTACACTTACAGTGGAGTAGCTTTGTGTAAATACTGGATCAATTTACAAGCACATTTGGTCAAATTACAATGAAATGTGTTTGTGATTTTTACATTTTAGTTACTTTTATAACAACAACTAAAAATATACATAAAAACAATAAATATAGTACATATGTATGGGTCTTGTACATTTTTGCTCTCAAAGTCTTGATAAAAGACTATCCCACTTTTTTGGTAAGGTTGTTGGCAGTACTTTATTGTTATTTATTTGAAATATGAACTGTAGAAAATAAAATATTAACATGCATCAAAAATATGATGTCTTAAGACTACGAAATTTAACTGGCTTTATATAAATGGGTTAAAATAATTCTGTTAACTTGTCGAGGTGGTCTCAGTGATAGCAAATATGGAAATTGTAGGTCGAAGAATTCAAAATCTGCCATTAGAAAAAGCTAGCCTTATAAGGATTTCAGTAAATTAAAACCTTGTATTTCTATTTGTTACAAATAACCCAACAGAAAATTTCAGAGAGTTACTGACATTTATCAAAGAACAGAATATGATAGGAAGGTGTAGCTTGTTGTGGGTTTGGCATTCTGGTTTATTTCTCAGTTAAGTAATAAGACTGGAGCCTATAAATTCACATTATGTCTTAGCAATATTTACTATCTATGAGTGCATAATTTGTGCAAACTCAGAATATCATATAGAGCACACAATAAACTATCTTTATTGAACAATGACTACAGATTCCACTGCTCTATTTTGGCTATAAAGCTTCTGATAATGTCTAAAGTTTCTGGTTATTGAAGTGGTAAGAAGCAATTCTTCACTGGACAAAGACTGACTTGATGTTAACATACTATTTGGCAGACCAGCATTAAATGTAGTTTCTAATCATCCTATAGATTACCTGCTTCAGCAATTATTCTTATAACACATTATAGGGGAGATCAACTCCTTGCTCATACTAACATGTGTAAACTATAACACCTCTCCTTGGTTATGGTTCATGTGCTAGAGAGAAATAACATAGAAGTCTGATGATTAAGTGATCATTTCTCTCTCTCAAATTACCACTGTAACCTCAGTTATTAAAGGAGGGTAGGGCTGACTACATTCTGTGTGCAAGAAGTCAACTAAGTGCAAAACACCCACATGAAGATTTTGAAACATTTGTTTAAGATAGCATATACCTTTTAAATGTTAAAAAATATCACGATATTTTTTGGCATATTTTGCATTTTTAAAGGTGTAAGTTTCACAATTCACAGATGTGGTATACCTTTTTTCACCTAGATAAAGACAATCTTGTGCCAAATTTTCAAACACATTTTTCCCAAAGTCTGAAAATTTACATTCTAATAGTGGTTTTTGACTCATAACTTCAGAACTGTAGATGCTATAGACTTCACAATTGACATAAATATGCATTATTAATCTATCTATAGTATGTAGTAAGGTAATGTTGATCAGAGGTTTGGGTTTTATTAAATGACCATTAACAAGTCACTGTAGCATATGTCCTACTTGGGTATCATCATTAGTGCTATAATTTGACCTTTAATTAGTTTTCAGTTTTCTTTAGTTCAGACTAATTCTTCACATCCCATCAGGACCCATTTTCAGGAGCATTCAGTCATGTTTGTAGAAGTTATCAGGAACATACAACATTTATTTTGTATTTCTTTATTTTTACAATATGCAAATGAGCCACAGTGGTAATGTTACACAACATGTGTCAGAATATGTCTTTGTATCTACTTCAATATGTTTTCATACAAAAAGCATAGTTATGAAGATGTTTTTTCTGATAAAAAGCCCAAAACCTAGATAACACTATGCAAGGGTTATATGCTACCTTAATTCAATTTCTAACTTATAGAAAGGTAAAACATGGTAGTTTTTAACTAGCGAGGCAAAGAGGCTCATTACACATAATAAGTGTGATAAAAATTGTATCTGTATGCAGATATTCTTGATACTACATAAGAGTACCAAATAGTTTTCTTTTCCCTTATACTTTAAAAGGAACT